CAGTTGATATTTGCTCTTGGTGAAACAGGTTGAATAATGTAAATACTTTGAGAAAACGTCGCTTAACGCAAGAAGAGTTTTTTTTGCTAAAAGGTTTCCAGGGACACTGAGAAGGATTTTTAAGATTAGTTCCCTTGTTCCCTTGTGCCCAGAGCAAGTAGGCCAAAATGTAGCCCTTAAAATTCTCTATCGATTATCTGTAATGGGGATTTTCTATCGTTATTCCTGTGTTTGGAGAAAACAAAGTAAGAAAAAGAGAAAAAAACACCCGTAATTAGATATTCTGCACAGGATTATACTTTTGTAAAAGCATAGGACTAGAACGAGTTTTTCATTATTTCAAGACTGAAACAACGCCATTTCTAATCAATACAGTTTTTAACTTGAACAGAAAATATTTCTAGCAGACTGTCTTTTCCAAGATCATACACACCTATTGACACCGATTAGTCTGATTGAAGTCTCTATTCGGTCGGTTTATATTCGCAATAGTATCTCTCTGATAACTCTGAAAAGTAGGACATATTTATCATTTGTCATTTCGAGTCATTCAATCTGTCATAGAAATATCTCTTATTTTTGTAGGGACTATAACAAATATAAGAAAAAAGTCTAAATAGCCTTTATTTGTTCAATCACACAACTAAAACCAAAATCAGTTATCTGTTTGCTGATAAGATTAACAAAGCATTTAAACATTATTCTATGGTGTTATAAAACTAGTTGAGTGCAATGAACTGTTTCTTTTAACTGCATTGTAATTCACCTTCAAAATTTCCAATACAATCATTTAAGTTTATAGCAGCTGGTACTTTTGAACCATCAATTTTTGTTGCCGTACATGTTAGACGACCAGATGAATCAACTCGGATATTATCACATGATGCAGAAAAATTACCACCATTTTGTTTAGATAATTTCCCATCGTTGTTTGCTATAAATTCATCTAAGTTTATTGATGATGGAACTTTTGTACCATCTGTTCTTTGACATGTTGCAGACAATGTACAACCCTGGCATCCAATGTCAGTAGAAGTCGCGGTAAAATTGGACATTATGAAGAGGAACAAGTTACTTGTAAATACTAAAGCAGAATTAAAAAATTATGACGTTATTCTCATAGTTAAGCTTTGATCTAATTAAATCAAATGACCGATTAACGTGTGCCGTTCAACGAACCGATTTTAATATAGAATTTTTCAAACACCACTTGTTTGAAAATATTTCAACCTGTCTAATTTTCTGTTGTGTACAAAATAAAAGTGGTTCGACGAAAAGATAATTTTGACCACGTTATACCGTTTCTCAATAGGTTCACAAATCCTTTCTGAAGTATTTTCGTATTTCTCAAATGGTATTCTATGTTTGGACGTCATTATCGAAAAGGAAGATTCATCTATTCGGATTCGAATACATTTCTGGAAAAACGCTTTATTTCTGCCTTTTTCTCAGAGAAAAAGGCATTTGATTGAAGTGCGTACAAATCTTAGTGAACAACGTTTTATAAAGCCCGTTTTCTTCTCAATAGTTAAAATAGTAGCAACATACCGGCCTCACATCCACTTCTGTAACCTGGATGTGGGAGGCAGTTTTTACTAGGTTGTCACTATATGGATCATGTATTGTTTTCAAATACAAAAGGTACGATAAAATGAAGAAATCAAAGATATCAATACAAAACGTACACTGCTTTCTAAAACATACATACCACAAATTTTATTCGGTTGATTTCTATTTTCTGTTAACTGTACCGGTATATTTATATGCGCATTTTTGCCGCATTTACATTTTTCTTGAATTCCATAGAAAAACACTTGTTTTTAATGTAAGAATTGCAATTATAGCTTCTTTTCTTCCATTTCATCTCTTCTAAGCCAACTGTGCATACTTGAAATGGAAAAGATTCCCTATTAGAGTTAATATGTTTTTTAGAGCAGTTTTCACTTTTATTATTTCTTACCTTGTTTTTGTCAAAGATGCATAATGAAAGAATTGATCAGCATGCGAAAGATATTATGTGTTTTCTCATGTTTTTATATTTTTATTTCAAACGTAAAAGGTGTTACATAAAGAATGATGTAGTTTTTCTTTTCAATTTTTCTCCTCTTCCTTTGCACTCACAAAGCTCATTTTTTATCAATAGATTCCCGACTGATTTCTCACTAAAAAAAGTGTTTCGTCAGTATGAAGAAGTGATTCAAAATATTCCATAGAAAAAGTGATTCAAACAGACAAGCAGGCATTTTTAAAGTATGTCGAGGTATAGATTTCAATACAAGAAATCGAAGCACCACTTAAATCGTCAGGATTTGACATTGACACAGTAGAACGTTTAAAAAATCATAAACAAGATGGAGATGGAACCACGGTAAAGGTTACATTTGCCGACGTCTACAACCGAAACATAATCGTTCGTACCGACCTCCGAATCGATCATTTAAATATAATAGCAGAAGCTGCAAGATATAATACGAAACCTGTAGAATGTTATATATGCCTCGCATACGGGCATATTTCGAAATATTGTCAGAATAAACAACAAATTTGTGCGAAATGCGCGGGTTCTCATGATATAAAATAGTGTGATGCACAAAATCAATAAATTAAATGCAAAAATTGTGATGGACAACAACTAGCAACTTTACGGGAGAGTCTAAAGTATAAAGAACAAGAGAAAAAATTGAAATCTACAGCAGAGAGTTATTCAGTTAATACTTCAACAGAGCAACCAACGTTCACTAGCAGCTCCTAATCTTAGTGCTAAAAATGCATTTCCCCAGTTAGGCAGTCAGCATCAGCAACCTTCAACTGCAGAAATTGTGAAACGGGTATTTCAGAAGTTATCGCATTTCTTCAGCCTTCTTTAGACAAAATCTTAGAAAAACTAGATTCTAAACAAAACACAGCAGCACAAGTAACATTTCTGCCATCGACACTCTCATCTTCGATGCCACAAAATTCACAGTGTGATGTGTAATTTGCAACCGAAGCAGAAGAGAATAATTCAACTAATATAGATGATGATGATGATGAGAAGAGCATTGAGATAGACGAACCATCTACATCAACAACTACTAATTACAATACAACGGCTACCTCGATACCTATTACGTAATCTCTTACGACTACCTATTGTACAGCAGCCCGAAATGTTAGCACTGTAGAAATTAAGCGTACTCGTGTGCCAAAACATCAAGGTGGTCATAAAAAGCAACAACAAAAAACAAGATCTACAGCTTCAAAATCAGAGCATCGATAACAGGGAAAATTTCAGTCAAGTAACACAAATCAACTCATCTGTTAATGAGATATAAATCTTACATCCGTAAAAAAACTTCATGGAGAACTCTATGCTCGCTTAAGAGATTCGGCTGTTATCTTGTTAGATGAAACAACCTTACGTCGGAAACAGACTTTCACATTATCAAATTTTAACATTTTTAGGCTTGACAGAACTGATGAACGAGGAGGAGAAGTGGTTTTAGCACTCCGTGACACCGTTAGATATCACGAGGTAATGAATCGTACGCACCAAAATAATGAAATTCCCAAAACAGTCGTACCATCGCCTACTGCTACACAAAATGAGAAGAGTATAGGTTCTCTTTCAAATACTTGAATCTGTTTTTCATTCTATTAATCTTTAGGTGAACCAGTTGATTCCTTATCGTCCTCGTCTTCAACGGCAGTACGCAACACAAGCAAACCAAAAGAAACACCGACAGTTATAGAAGATCCAGTATGACTTCTTTTTGTAAACACATGCCTCTATTATAGTTTTCTTTTTGTTGTTTAGTTTGATAATTTTCTATGTAAATCTTGTAATCGTGGCGATGATGATGCCTATTTGTTAATTTGTGATCGATGCGACAGTTGCTATCATACATACTTATTCCAACATTAATAGAGATACCGAGAGGACAATGGAGATGTCCAAAATGTGTCGCGCAAGTATGTATAAAAGAAATAATGCGGGAGAAAGGACTTTCTTCATATATCAATTTACTTAAAGTAAACTTCTCTTTTTCTTCTCGAAGTAGCTAGGTCATCGTTCTTACTTATAATCTCGATGTACTTTATATAAAGCAATATTTTCTTCTTTATCCTTAGTTATATCAAACAGCGTGCCCATTAGACGCCTATGGTTTTGAAAAGTTGAAAAAGAATTTTGACGAGTGTTCTCGTTGCCAACAGCTTCAGTTAAAGTCGAATATGGAGCAGATCTACCAACGGGAGAATTGGGTATCGGTTTCGCTACCGTGAAATCAAAAGATTTATCCGATCAAGATAAAGTAAGCGAGTACTCAAGTCTCTACCACTTGATTTCATCATTCGTATCCAAATGTAGTAGTTTGATTCTTTTCTTTTTTCTATTTTTAGGACTATTTAAATTCACCATGGAATTTGAATAATTTCGCTTATCATTATAAATCATGAACTGAATAAATAGTGCAACTCAAATTTTGAGATGCAATTTTCACATATATTGTAGGTAATGACATGATGAATATCTTTTACCTGAAGAGTATGTCAGAAATCCACCTCTGAAAAATGCCAGAAGTTTGTTTCAGAAACTCCGTGTATCTGAATGGACCGAACGGAATTACCTCACGCAAATTAGCTTAGCGGCCGGGATAATTCCGGCCGGTTTGGAGATCCCTGTCTCGTTTTGAACACTGGTCGAAAACCGAGACTGTTTTTTAGGAAATTTTTACATCAGCGGATAGAGAACTGTTAGTTCCATCTTCATATTCAATAGCACGCTTATCCGATTAAAAAATCCTTAGAAATACGCAAAATAGTAAGAAACTTTGTGCAAGTGCCCGGAATTATCCCATCTGACTCTATAACAATCATAGGAAAAGAACGATCACAATTATATTGCGATTCGAGTTACTGTTACATTGCGATAATATTCTCCAAATAAATATACCCATGTGAAACAATCAGATGGGAAGATCTTACCTTTGATGTTGTTTGATCTTCTAAGAACAGACGATTTTCATACAATTTCGTCTGATCTACAAGATCTTACCCACTGATGTTCGACCTAGGTAGCATGTCATACGACGAACAGAATGATCTCTATAGTAGGGCAAATTCAACTGAAATGTCCCATCAATACAGCAACTTTTTCCGCTTCATTTAAGATCAAGCTAGTTTTATAGAGCACATCAAATTACGTTAGAAACTGTTTTGTTGACTTCATAGCTGGTGCAGAACCCGAGAAAATGACTTTTACTCTCCCAGCAAAATTATCGGATTTGGCGCTACTTTCAATGCGAATGGATCACCACCGCGATGAATTTTACAACATGTTCTCCCTGTTTTCGACCAATCGCTCAAGATTATTATTATAGAGTGGGACATGACCTATATTCTCTACAACTTTGAAGAATGTACCATGTAAGGTTTGCGAGATATTGAGCTTTTTCACTTCTCATGACCGCCGTACAAAACTGTTACTTGAGAAATACTAAAAAGGTTAGCTACTAATGATGATGGCACCATAGTAACGGCGGACTCAGCTATCTTATAAACATCTCGAAAAGCAGTTTTTTATAATCATAATCAAACTGAGAACGCAAGAAAACCTATAGGATGTTTCTTTTATCAAAAACCCAAATTTAAAATACTGAGATAAAACTCAAACATAGTTCATTTTAAAAGGTTCAATATCTCGTGAACCTTACATGGTACATTCTTCAAAGTTGTAGAGAATATAGGTATAGGTCATGTCCCACTCTATAATAATAATCTTAAGGGATTTGTTGAAAACGGGGGACATGTTGTAAAATTCATCGCGGTGGTGATCCATTCGCATTGAAAGTAGCGCCAAATTCGATAATTTTGCTGGGAGAGTAAAAGTCATTTTCTCGGGTTCTGCACCAGCTATGAAGTCAACAAAACAGTTTCTAACGTAATTTGATGTGCTCTATAAAACTAGATTGGTCTTGAATGAAGCGGAAACTCTGACGAGGGCGCCTCACGATGGATCTCCAACATAGTCTGTTAGTGGCGCCTTTATCGGAGATCTCAGTAGCTGCGCTTGAGCATAACAAAGAATTATGGGGAAATGAAATGTTATTTGAAGCTTATTTAAATCTAAAATTTTCATCCAATGAATTTCAGTTCGAACTTTGAATATCTTATATGTTTTAGTATATAGCGGATGCACTTAGTCGTCAGTCCTCATACCAGGACACATTTTTCTCTTATATTGAGTATACTGACACGAATAAAAGATATTAAGAGAGCTTATTTTCAAGATAGACTCAAGAATTAGGACGATAAACGAGGAGTAGCCGTCTTTGTCTGATCTTTGAATACGCTACCTTTCATATTTGAATAAATGAATGAGAATGGTCTTGCCTTAAGGTGCCGCTAGTAATTAGAAATGTCTTATGCAATGCAAGAAGGTGCATATCGTCTTTGCTCTCTTTTATACTCGATTTGATATCAAAATTCGAGATTTTGATTTTGTTTTTTCGATCGTTGGGTACAACATGCGTTTCTTTTTTTACCATTGTTTGACGGTAAAGGTCATTGTTTTTTTGTGGGTTTAAATGCTTTTTTGTAAAATTTTTACGTCGATATGATATTGTATATTATATTAATTGTATATTATTGTATATTATATTAAGTATTTAATGTAATATAGTAGAGTTTAGTTACTCACAGCATTTGGAGCCAGTAAGAGAGTTGGGAAATATTTTTATCACCTTTCATTGCCACAACGTTGAGCTATGCTTCTCTTAGATAGTTTGGGGATCATAGATGGAATTTTTTCTCAGACAAGACACCAAATCCAAGTAGTTCCTCGTGTATAGGCTCAGTTAACATGCTGACTGTGCAAGACCTCAAAATAAAATGCACAAAAAGTGAGAACTGCACCAAAACAGTGATGTCATCACAAAATGTGAGTTACCTCGGTGTAAGATCGCTTTGCCGTTGGCGGCTTTCAGGATGTAGCACGTATCAGTTTGAGCCTGTTTGATACACAGAGGATAGGGTGCCAAGCTATACCGCCTCATTCATAGGATGCTAGATTGGCTCTGGCGACGAACTAATCCTAGCGATAATATCTACGGATATACATTCTCCGAAAGTCCAAGCGTGAATGTTTTCTTCACATATGACAGACGTTACCTTAACGGTAATACTCACATGCGAACCATAAGACATCAATCTCACTTTCATTTTGAGGTCAAATTCTAGTTACGCTTCGAACGGTAATTGAGAAATACACACGATCAGAACTTAGAAAATCTGAGATTCAAATACTTCGTAAACTAGAATATGATGATAGTTCAACGTTGTATCACTACACTCTTGGCGGCAAAATCGCGAAAAACACGGCTCTCCGTCTGTTCTCTGTCAAACGTTATTAAAAGAAACAACACAGTTCACTTTTCGAAAAACACTTCCGAGTAACTTTCAGGAACTTCAAGAACCATCGATATCGACTTATCTTTTATGGATTTTGATAGCAGACAGTATAGGTGACGCGACCATGTGTGTCGACGTTTTTGACGAGAATCGCCGTTCCAAATTGGAAAAAACCTCTTTTCTCTCTCTCTGCAGAGCATAGGTAAGAAAAGAATTATGTGATCATTCAGTTTGCTACAATTTTATTTTTTAGGCTATATAGCCGCGTTATTTTCTTTTATTTTCTGTATGTTGGTAATGACGATTCTAGTTGAGTTGAGTTGAAAGCACATATTTTTAAATAAAATGAGCATCGTTGATCTTCTCGTACAATTAATATTTACGTTTACTGTTTTATTCTTAACAAGTAGAACTGGAATACTTTGGACAAACAAGACTACAAAGAAAACGTTCTAAACCTGAATATTATGGAAGTTTCAACTCAAGATATTAGTCCTATGGTCTATTGGTTAAATGTCAAGAATGAAACACCTCGCTCACTTTTTATTAACGATTAAAAAATTTCAGTATCTCTAGATGGGTCGACGAATTTTTTGAGCGCTACGACCTGTGGAAAATCCGCGAAGATTATACTAAAAGAAAGTGTAGAAACAATATCACAGAAGATGGTAGAAAGGTGAATGAGAAGTTTAAATAATCGAGAAAAGAATAAACGGACAAAGCCAAGGGGTAAAGAGCAGCACGCAGTACCGATTTGGGTACCAAAACCTACTGACAGATACCGAAAGATACTGACAGATACCGTTGGGCGCATGTTCGCAAAACCGAACGTAGTGTGATCAAATCCTAGCTTGAACGAAGACTATTTTTGTCTTATATAAAAGACAATGCTTTAATTTAATAAAAACAACATTTACGAAATATTTTCTATTGAAGTTTACGTTCTATAATTCCTAGAATAAGAAATCCAATAATCTGATAAAAACACATGATCGAAAAGAAACAAAATCTAGGTCGAGATAAGAGTCGATCTCAATGCCATTTTTAAAATTAGCAAGCAGCGAAAGTACAGATAGATCAATAAATCACTGTTTCAGGTACTGAAAGGTGCCGAAAGGTACTATTCTAAGTAAAGTGCTTTTTCCTCCTTGGACAAAGTTGTGTATAAACATTATTGTAGAGGCGGCTGAATGATTTTAAAACTGTGCGTGCTCAAGGACAAGAGCAAAAAAGAAAGAATAAGAAAAGAAAGAGTAAGTTTCTGCTGAAAGAACATGAAAACTAACAAAAACCGTGGGTGCTATAGTATCCACAGCCCCTGCTTTTGTCACCCGTTATAACCGCAACAAAGCATAACACTGTGTAACCTCACAGTAATGCACTATTAAAGATAATACACCAGACATGGATTCCTCTTTCTTGTATGCTTCTCGATTACTTTACTACTATCCATTTCAAAATATAGTGGGCACCATGTTTTTATATTAGCTTTTGAACTTTGAAGTCGTAGAAACCTCGAATTTCGGTTTCTGAAAGAGAACACCGGGACGTCGCACTATGGTAAAATAAAGTTCTTCCGAAAGGTCTACTATGGTGTATCTTTTGAGTGAAAATCTAGGAGATCAGACGCCATAAGGCTTTCAGAGAACCTATCTATCAGCCAAACTCCATGTTTGGGAACTTTCAAAACACATGAAACATAGGTTATCCACTACATTGAATCTCGTGGACTTTCTGCTGGTTTTTTAAACTGTTATTGAACTTCATAGTGTAGCACAGCTGAAGTGGAATATATGTTGATATTCTGAAGCAGTTTGGAACAATTTTGACTAAGTTATGAATTTTTTAATTTTCGATGCAAATAGTGCCAAATGGATTATTTCGCCTAGTATAGGTGAGCACTGGTTTTTTGAAGCATTTCCAAAAAACAAACATTGCCACGATATTCAATGTGGTGGATAATCTATGTTTCGTGTGTTTTGGAAGCTACCAAAGTTGGAAATCTGACATGGATTTTTTAACCTTCTTTAGAACTGAATAGTATATCA